ACCATGTCTACATGCCTAAATGCACTGAGTTGCCGCCATGTGATTGGCTGCTTAGAAATTAAGTGTTAACGAGCAGTTGGACATGTGTACCTAATAAAGTGGCCAGTGAGTGTATATTTATTTGTATTATGAGAATAAAGTCATAATATTACGAGAATAAAGTCGTAATATTACAAGAATAAAGTCATAATATATGGAGAAGAAAGTCGTAAAATTACGAGAATAAAGTCGTAAAATTGCGAGAATAAATTTGTTAAATTAGGAGAATAAATTCGTAAAATTAAGAGAATAAAGTCCACAACCCGTTTCAGAAAGAAAGCTTCGAGCATCCTTCCACTAGAACATCACCATTACCAGCACCATAATAAACAACAACTGGAGGCCACTTTGTCTGAGACATACTGCCCAATTAACAGGTAAGCTAAAGTATTAGTACATTTGTTGTTAATATTTTGCAATTTTAGGTGGGTTTAGCTACTAGGCTTACAGGTTAGTTGCGGTATTTGATGCAACATGCTTCCAGCTTTATTAACTCTTGCAACGTCATACAACATATAGCGTTTAGCCTATGTGAGGGATTATATAGTCAACATTTGTTGTTGTTGTTTGTCGAAATTATCCACTCCATCACTCACATATGCCTACTTAAGATTACTTTTGCTTGCCACTCTTGTTGCATTACATTAACGCAACTTTGTTCAAATTAGCATTAACGTTACCGTCTTTCAAAACCCATTAGTATTAGACCACTTCCAGTCACCACCTCTCTTCCCTAGGCAGGGTGTCATGATTTAACTAAGGTCTGACCCAAAATGCAGAAGTTCAAATAGAAAGACACAGAGTCTCTCTGAACTCTGCTCAGCCGGAACTGGAAGGCGAGGGGAAGACAGACTGTTAGTTGAGGCTCAGCGGGAAATTTGATTCGTTGATCTTATAGGAGAGGATCTGTTTATTGACTTACGTTTCCAGAGAAGTGAAGGATCCTTGACTCCAATCTGTGTGTTGGTTTACCAGAGTATGTCTGATTCGGTGGAGGGCGGAACAGGGTTTACCCAGAACTCGGACGGTGTAGATGGACGGAGGCACTGATTGCCACTCAGATTTCCGACTGTACTTGAACGGGTCGTGGTGAAGACGATTCCCTTGCTCAGAGAGTAATTTCAACGTCCTCAAAAGGAGACTGGATCCAAACCTTCTGTTTGAATTCCTCGCTCAGTTTAAGACTCAGTTGATCCCTCCTGGGAGATGATGTCTGAAAAGGTCCAGTTTGCAGGATGACTTCCTGCCGAGAGGCAAAGACAAAAACAAAGTTAAATCTCAGGGAGACAAGAACTCAGTCTTACTCAATGAAAACTCAGCTTGGCTAGAATACCAAAAACTGGCAAACACTCTGGCATCGAGGTAGTGGCAAATGGCAGCTTAAGAGCACTCCGATAATGAGGTAACCGTCAGCAGGTGTGTGAGGAGGCGGATCGGAACCAGGCGCCTCCTGTTGGTGGAAGGGAGAACAACACAAAAGACAAACACACAAACTGGAATCCTGACACGGGGTCATTCAGATGAAAAAGGAAATACCGGAAAGCTAAACATAGACTGAAATAAACCTGTCTTTAGTTGATAGCTAAGCTTGTTGCATGTTCACAGTACAATAGTTAATAAAATCTATTGTGCCATACCTCAAGTTATATGATCAATGACAGCATGCACCTAAAGTGACATGGCAACGGCTAAGTGTCCAAAGATTTTCACAACATTGGGGAAACAAAAAAGGAATAGGTATAAATCTAATTAAATATATTAATTTTACCTCTATTAGCCATACATTATAAGGGTATTATATCATATATATTGTATAAAACTTGTTTGTAATCAGTCTGTAGTCTATGTTTGGAGTAGATTAATATGTATAGTATAAGCATACTGAAAGTGCCGCATTGTTTACATACTGCATATATGCAGTTTGGTGGAAGGGTCTATATTGATAATGTCCCAGCTTAAGTCACCATTGTTACTAGTGCATTTTGGGAAGATATACATTATATTGTTCTACACAGCAGCTCCATATTGTTTTAATCAGTTAAACTAGCAGTTCCAAAACCTAAACATCCAGTAAAAAGATCTTACCACTTTAGCAGAATCTTCAGAAAAAAAGAAATACATCTGAAAGTATGGCTATTTATTTTTCTCTCCTGATCCATAGTGGCTGAAAATCTGTTAGAAATTGTGACTTTCCTGAGAGGTCGAGGTGCATCAGAAGAAACAATCAGCTGGATTGAAGATCAAAAGGCACGGCTACAAGTGCAAGATTAACAGCTTAATTAAGTTAATTACCTCCCCAATTTTCTCATGCAACACAAACAGGAATTTTCAGAATAAATGATTTAATATTCACTCGAACAATTTCAGCATGTTTTGTCATCTTGCTATTTTCACTTTCAATATATACCTTCTTCACCAGCTCTTCTCGTGTCAGTGTTGTCATGAAGTATATTAGTATAGTATAGTTTAATATACAGAAACAGCTATTTTTCAGTGCAGTTTCACAATACTTTTTCTCCAATTAATAGCTATGTTTTATTACTGGCTAGGCATCACTGCTTCACTATCTATCGAATTGCTTGTTACTTAAGACATAACCATTTACCAGAGTACAAAAGGAAAAAAAAAAAAACAGAATAAGAATCAAAAAAGTTTTAATAGGCTGCACAGTAAAGGACCAAAATGAATCTCGTAATAAATGCTGCGTCTCTATCAAAATGCCATGCTTAAATCAAGTGTGCAACATATTTGGGGGATTAAACCCCCACAAAGAGAGATTTATAATAAAACATTTGTAAAAAAGGTTTTTACCAGATAAAAACTTTTCAAATACCAGCATGAATGTGAACGCTTATTGGTTTTGTGAAAGTGATGGTTATTTAAGGGACATATCCATGGTATTTGCCTTTTCTTTTTTTAGTTTATACACTCTCGTGGAAGCTGCAGGGTGTTACCTTACAGCAAGAAGATGTTGGGTTCGATAACCGGTCTGGGGGTCTTCTGCATGGAGTTGGCATGTTCTCCCTGTTCATGCATGGATTCTCTCTGAGTACTCCAGCTTCCATCCACAGTCCAAAAACCATGACTGTTAGGAAACTAGTGAATGCTGCCCAACTTCAGAATTCAGCAGGTCAAAATTTAGTTTCTACTAAACAGCAAACACACAAGTAAATGGTGAATCTGATTTAACCTTCAGGCAAATTTGACATGCTGTAAGCTAATAATAGATTGAATACTTATTTAACCTGGTAGGATGGGTTCAGCACCAACAAAATCACTCTTAAAACATGAACAACACCAAAGTTAAACACTATTGAAAATAGATGTGTAAAAACACACATATACGAACACTGCGCATCACTTCTTTTAAAACCCAAACTCTGCACTTTCCAATGATTCTCGGTAAATGCAGAATAACTGGAATGTAATTTATCCTTAACTGTAATTTGTTAAGCTGTGAAGATAATGTTATTTTTTTTATAACATCTACAGGGGTGTTGTCAGGACTCTGCATGTCAGTGGATGTCTGGCAGCAGACTGAAACGATGTCATGCTGTATTTGCGGATTCCTCCATGTTGTGACGTACGTATGTTTTGTCTGTGAGATGCTTCAGTAACTGGGGCAGAACTGATTGCTGCTGATAGCTGTAGGCAAGCACAGACCTACATTCTGCTGCTGCCTTACAAAGGAGGAGGGGTACAAGAGGAGATTGACATTAGGGGTTTGTATTGCACCATTTATGATAGCCATCTGCTGAGTCTCACTTCAGCTCTGTATAATTGTGTTTCCTAGTCCTCCTGCATCCTTTCTCTTGGTCTGATGAGAAGGTTAAGAGTATTTGAATCTTACTTTGCACATAAAGAAGAGCTGATCTTGGAAGTGACAGGAAACACCTATATTTGTTTGAAGACTTTTATGAAGGAAGTAGAAAATAATAGACATAGTATTTACATAGGGGGCCACGTAAGCACGATCCAAAAGGCATGTTGTGTTGCAGTTGTAAGTTAAAGTTAAACATAAATGACTTCTGGAATGACATTGTTTTACGGGAATTTTATGACTTTAATTAGAAATATCCTGTCCAAGAGGGATGCTGAGAACTACTCCATGCATTTGTTACTTCAAGGCTGGACTATTATAATTCTTTACTTTCAGGAAGTCCACAAACTGTAGTTAAAAGCCTCCAGCTGATATACAGTCATATGAAAAAACTTGGGCAAAAACTATTAATCTTAATAATTTTTTTTTCAAAATATTTGTGTTATTTTAGTTTGATATATCTAATAACTGATGGACACAGTAATATTTCAGTATTGAATTGAGGTTTATTGTACTAGCAGAAAAAAAAACAAAATTTAACAGGTGCTAAAATATGGGCAAAAAGGAGACATAAATATTTAATAGATCTTCTTTTTGCAAAAACAACAGCCTCTTGTCGCTTTCTGTAGATTTTAATGAGTTCCTCTATCCTGGATGAAGGGAGTTTTGCAAAACAATTCCAGTTCAGTTAAGTTTGATTGTCGCTGAGCACGGACAGCCTGCTTCAAATCATCCCATAGATGTTCAATGATATCCAGGTCTGGCCATTCCAGCACATGAATGCCTGAGTAGATATGGAGTGGTGTTTTGGATCATTGTCTTGCTGAAATATCCATCCCCTGCGTAACTTCAACTTCATAACTGATTGATGAACGTATTCTTCAGAATCTGGTAATATTGTGTGGAATCCATAAGAGCCTCAACTTTAACAAGATTGCCAGTGCCAGCATTGGCAATGCAGCCCCAATGCATGATGGAACCTCCACCAAATTTTTACAGTGGGTAGCAAAAGTTTTTCTTGGAATGCAATGTTTTTTTTTTGCCGCCATGCATGATGCCTTTTTATGACCAAACAACTCAATATTTGTTTTATCAGTACACAGGACCTTATTGGAAAGTGAAGCTGGCGTGTCCAAATGTGCTTTTGCATACCTCAGGTGATTCTGTTTGTGGCATGCTTGCAGAAAAGGCTTCTATCACTTTTCTCCGTGGCCATTCTTCTTATCTGCCTCTGTGATATCTTTCTTGGGCTGCCACTTCTGGGCTTAACAGCAACTGTCCCTGTGGTCTTCCGTTTCTTTACTATGTTCCTCAAAGTGGAAACTGACAGACTGTTTTGGACAACTTTTTGTATCCTTTCCCCTGAATAACTACGTATATGAAAAATCTTTGTTTTCATTATCACTTGAGAGTTGCTTTGTGGTGCCCATGATGAATAAAACAGAACAACTTGCAACTGGCCAACTTAAATACCTTTTCCAATGATTGGATACACCTGGCTATAAAGTTACCAAGCCAATGTTGTGTTTCAGTAAGTCAGTGAAAAATAGTTAAGGGTATTCAAATTAAAAAAAAATTATTAGGGTACCCACAATTTTGCACAAAATATGTAAGATTAATAGGAGTGCCCAAATTTTTTCATATGACTGTATGTAAAGCCTTAAATAACCAAGCTCCATCTGATATCAGAGCTCTGATTTCTAATTATGTTCCTAATAGAACACTTCGCTCTTAATCTGCAGGTTTATTAGTGGTACCTAGAATTTCTATAAGTACAACGGGAGGCAGATCTTTTTGTTATCAGGCTCCTCTCCTGTGGAACTAATCACCAGTTTAGTCCTTTAGCCAGACAACCTGTCTATTTTTAAGGGTAGGCTGAAAACATTCCTTTTGGAATGTCATCTATCAATATATATAGCTAGAATGGCTCAGCTTGTCCTGCACTATCTCTATAGTTATGCTGCTATAGGCTTAGACTGGGGGAGGACATAGGGACCCCTTGTCATCATTCTGCTTCATGCTATCTCTATTCTAATAATCTGCAGTATTTATTAGTTCAATCTTTAACATGATATGTTCTCTCTGCTTTTCTCATAGTAGCTTCATCTGGTCTTTTCCTGCTTGGCTGTGACTCCATCCTTGATAGAAACATCAGCTGGTCCTTTTCTCTCCTAGACATAGACTAAATCAAATTTCCTGTAGAATTTACAGTAAATAAGAGCAACATTGTTAATATTTAAGTGCTGTTAAATTGCCAATTGCTGTAGAATAATTACAGTTTTTTTGCTGTATATAAATTACAGGAATGTAATTTATATCTAATTTATATTTATATATTTACATTGTTAGTTTACATAATTACTGTCACAGTCTTGGTTTTCCATTTGTTGTCCTCTGCTGCCCTCTTGTGTCCTCTTTCCCTAGCTCTGTTTTCT